TTTGTAGTTGGACAATAAATGTGACATGTAGAATTTTAAACCTTCAAGTAAGTCTGTTTTTATGATAGCACTGACTGTAAAGTGACTGTAATGTGGTAATCAAAATAGCCTAACACAACTCTGTGCTTTTGTTCTCATTTATTTTCATTTTTAGTTTAGTGAATTTAACTTCCGCTTTAAAAGCCTTATTTTTGTTTTTAGATTGCAATGTTACAATGTTAGAATGAAATGTGATTTTAACCCTTTTTGCACGTAATATAAAGGCTTACGGTTACGTTCACTTTGTTTTCATAGCCTTTAATATATATTGTTTTGTTGGAAAACATTGGGCGGTAAGTGAAATTTATACATATATTAAATACACATTTTTAAAATACAAATACAAAAACGAAAATACTGAGATATACCGTATATCGCAAATCGGCCAAAAAATACAGAGATATGAATTTTTGCCCATATTGTCCAGCCCTATTTAGGACACAAAAGTAGAGTGCAAGTGTCATATTACTCTGAGAACTGCGCCCACTGGAGGGAAACATAATCGGCGACAAGACCATTCATTATTTTTAACCATGTTAGAGGATTATTTCACCACCCCATAGGCGGAGCATGTGTAAGGCCAAGGGGACTTGGGGCAAAAATGCCACTAAATTGGACAAAAATGCCCCTGCACAAACAAATTAAATCTATTACGTCTGTTGCTAGCAAAGTGAATATGAATAGACAGTGTCGATTGCGGCATTAAATTAAGATCTGCTCATGTTGCACCTATTTCATTTTAGCTGTTTTTACAGTGTTGGGCATTTTAACCAATCACACACAATTCTGTTGAGTTTAGGAATGTAATGGCCAATCAGAAGCGTTCAGATGCACTGTAAAAAATATGTGTAATTTTAACTGTAAAATTTTGTAAAAACGCTACGGAAAAAAACTGTTAATAGGTTAACAGTAAGTTCCCGTACTATATACAGGGAAAAACTGTAAAATATCTAACCAGACATTTCATGCAATTTTACAATAAAATGCTGTTAATTTTACAGTTTTTAGAAGTAAAAATAACGAATCAATGTATAATTTACAGTCAAAATCTGTAAACTGATATTCCCAGAATTCCCTGCATGACACTCCACATTTGAAAGTATTTTGTTTAAATAGTTTTTGGCCATAAATGTGTTTACAGTTTTTCTGTATTTTTTACAAAATTATTCTGGCAACCACAGCTGCCAAAATTATTTTGTAAAAACTACAGAATTTTTTTTACAGTGGAGTCATCGTTGAAACAGATCAGTTTTGTTGAGTGTGCGCGTGTTCGCTGCCTGAATTCCGGACTCTTGCGAATTCTCTCATCATAAACAACAAAGCGCAGATGTACCTACAATGTAAGTAAGAGATTCATTTCACAGTGTATACAGCTTCAGTGATTATAAGGATAGTTTTTTTTTTAGAGTGCTTAAACTCGCGATAAATCAATGTTAGTGATAATGTCACTTTCTAGGCTATATATAATTTATTCGCTGTTTGAATAACCGTGGAAAGGAAACGTTAGGTTATCAATTTCTAACGTTTTTATTAAATTGTAATCGTGTTAAATACAAATTCAGTCCCATTAAACATTTTTTTAGCCTAAACTCATGTCTGGTCCTTGCCTAAAAAGACGGGTATGATGTTTAATAAATTTGGCTGCTTTTAGCCCTACCCTGGAGTTGGTTCACCCTCCGCCTATGCACCACCCTATGTGAATCTGAGAGGAGGAGATATATTAAGAACCCAAATTTTATTGGTCTATGTCAGTGCCCCTTTTCCTAACCTTCCTTTTGTTTGAGAAATGATCCAACTGAACGGCCCAACGTGAAATACCCCGACATCTACAACTATTTGCCTGAACTCACACACTAAACACCAGTTTTTGGTCATTACCAGTTGTGCTGGTTAGACCCTGCTCTGGAGTAGGAGCTAATTTGGTTCTCGAAAAAGGCAGTCCGGTACTAAAATCGCACCCAGTTCCGGCGGTGCGAAAACGCCAAAAAGTGGGTAGTTCCACAATTAGTTCTGGTACTATGAAAAGGTTCCCACGGTGCGAAAGGCCCTATTGTCACATAGCAGCTTTTAGGCATTGCTCTGTTTTTTGTTATAAGTCCCGCAATAGAAAGTCAATGGAGAGCGTTGGATTGGCTCGCAAAATCTCTGGCAGAAATTCCCATAAAAAAATCAATCAATAAATGAATAAATAAATAAATAGGCTACATTTATTTTAGGGTAAAATGGGGTTAAGAGAGGGTAAGATGCTCTCCTTAAGAACAATGTAGATAAATTTAGCATATGCAGGATGATGATACATCAGCCAATGTCTTTAAGGGATTGCTATTGCTAATTTAGCTGTTAAATATGAAAAGTCTATAGTAACTGCACCATGCGGCCCCCACCCCAGAAAGTACAGAAAGTATGTATTTTTTACAGAAAGTAATAATAGCTTTTGATGTAATATTAATTATATAATTATTAATATTTCAAATTTTATCTGTCATTAATGTAACATACTAAATCAACTGTTCTATTTAATATTTTATTTTGATAATTTAGTTGAATAATTGAATAACCGATGACAGACAAAGCAGAATCCAAGTAAAGGAGTGTCAGGATTATGGACTATTCTGTGTGTGTTTTTGCCCCTGTGACCCAGTTTCTTCCTCATGTTGATTGTGTTTATTTGATTCCAGGTGTGTCTCGTTCCTCCCCAATTATCCTGCCTTTAAAAGCCCTAGTCCTTTCAGTTCTTGTTTGTTGGGTGTACTTGTTGAATGTCCTCCTTGATCTCGGTTTTCCTGTGGATTATTAAAGACTGTGTTATTCAAGTACTCCTTGTTTCCTCGTTCCTTGCTCCCCGAGTGAATTGTAATAGAAGACCCGACCGATACAGTTACCTCTGTTTGTACCCTCCGTTTTGTTTCTCTTTTTACTCAGTTTTTTTGTTTTCATTGTGTGCCCTATGGATCCCCTCCTTCGCCCACAATTCATCCTCCTCCTGCTGGAGCAGGGGGAAAATTCGCTCGAGGGTCATACCAGACTGTTTCTGGCTGTGGCCCATCTCACCACCTATCCGGACGACGCGCTCTGCGCGTTCTATGACGCCAGCCTCAACACCGCGTGCAGAGCGCCGTCGTCCGAAGATGGCCCTCGAGCTGAATTCGCCGCCTTTGTGGAGTGGACACTGGCGAGAAATGGATCACCGTTCCCTGCCGGTTCCCAGGAATTAATCGCCAGTGCCACTCCCGACCCAGAGCCCAGCCCACCATCTCCCCGATGCGTGGAGCGCATGCCCGAGCCCACCACTGACGGAGAGCTAGAGCCCGCCGCGACCGATGAGCCATTGCTAGAGAGAGCGACAGAGCTGAGGATCGCCACGGAGCCAGAGGCCGTGACGTCAGTCCAGGTGTGTGAGCCGGCAACAACGTCTGCCACGAGGGAGAAAGCCACGGACGGTGTGAGCACGGAGAGACCTGTTTCCACGTCCAGCCCAGAGAGGGCTCCTGTTCCCAAGTTAAGCCCAGAGTGCCCGGAGGCTCACAAATGCAAGCCCACCCACCCACTCCTGCCTCCTCCACTGCTGTCGTCTGGCAGCCCCTCTGCTTGCCCTCAGCCCACCATCATTGCGGCGCGAGCCCCGCGGGACTGCCATCCTCCAGCGTCGCTGTGGCTGGAGTCTCCCTTGACTCTGCTCCTCCCTCCATCGGCTCCACCGTGGGTCGACATCATGGCTGTGACCTGGGTCCTGCTGTGCTCTTCTTGCTCCGGGTCCCTCCTGTCTCCTCCCTGGCTCCTCCCTCCTTCGTCGCCCCCCCCTGGTCTCTGTATGCCGGCCTCCTCCCGGATATCTGTCCTCCTCTGGAACCTCCTCCCAAGTTCCCACCCACGCCTCCCTCTGTTGTTGCTACGGTGCGAGGACGCACCTTCCGGGAGGGGGCGTTATGTCAGGATTATGGACTATTCTGTGTATGTTTTTGCCACTGTGACCCAGTTTCTTCCTCATGTTGATTGCGTTTATTTGATTCCAGGTGTGTCTCGTTCCTCCCCGATTATCCTGCCTTTAAAAGCCCTAGTCCTTTCAGTTCTTGTTTGTTGGGTCTACTTGTTGAATGTTCTCGGTTTTCCTGTGGATTATTAAAGACTGTTATTCAAGTACTCCTCGTTTCCTCGTTCCTTGCTCCCCGAGTGAATTGTGACAAGGAGATTCATCTGAAAAGTAATTTACATATTTAATAGCACATTAAGAGCGAAGATGTCATAATAGCAACGCTGTGAATGCAACATTTAATGATTTCACTCAATTAACCTATAGGGTTTAATGAAAAATATCTAATTAATGGAAATAAATATTACATAAAACCCCAAGAATTAAAATAAATATTTGATTTTTAAAATAACACTAGTAACAAACAACATGCAACTTGGGGCCATGTGCAGTTCTCTGTCATCTTACCCGAAGGGAATAGAAACTTAAACTTTTACTTCACAAACCCAAAAACATTGATTTGTCCAAATATCCCTAATTAACAAATAAACACAATGATCACAGTTTTCCAGAGACACAAAATTAAAAATAGCGTAGCCATTCATCAAAAGTGCTGAGATGGAATTTTGCGCCAGTTCTTCAGGACGTCAACTAGGAATAGCCTACTGCTCGAAGTGTCCAAATAAGAGTAATGTATAACTCACTCTACTCTTCCTCCACCTGCTGCCCACCTGTCTCACTGCTCTGACAAAATGAACATATCACCTCACACAACTGGAGAAATGAGGGGTATCTAAGCAACGTCTCAGCAGAACAAGTACAGCAGACCTCACATATGCTCTAAACTGTAACATATTTCCATTAGTGTACGCTACAGGGGTTTGACCATTATTAATGACAGCAAGCTGTGCACGGTTAACTCGTCAATTGCACCAATTAAATATTTTGCTTATCGTCAGCTTTTTAGTAGAAGGAAAGCAGGATGCTGTGCGTCACAATGCGCGCTGGCAAAAGTGTGTTTCGTTCAACGTCAATGCAATGGACCCGACACACCTCCAACACTTGGCACACATTCCTTCAGTTTTTCAGTGCTATCATCCCTGCAGGCGCAATAACGCACTTCAGCAGGCAGTTTGGACACAAGGCGCACTGACCACTCACAGTTTGGAAAATCAACTGCTGCAAATGTCTAAAATACACTGGTTTACTATGTCGTAGGGACAGCAGAGTGAGTCACTCACTGGAATAAGCATACAGATTGATTTATCACCTGTGACAACGGACAACTACGATGGATACCACTTTGGACCCCCTTTCAACATCTCTTCTCTACGACGAGGAAGATGGAAACGAAACCTCTACCAATCTATTTGAGCAGCCGGACTGGCAGGTGGCACTATGGGCGATTGCATACTCCTTGATCGTAATTGTGTCCATCATTGGCAATGTCACTGTTATTTGGATCATTCTGGCACATAAACGCATGAGGACAGTGACCAACTACTTCATTGTAAACCTCGCATTTTCTGATGCATCTATGGCAACTTTTAACACTGTCTTTAATTTCGTGTACGCTTTGCACAATGACTGGTATTTTGGTTTGGGATACTGTAAATTTCAAAACTTCTTCCCAATAACAGCAATGTTCTCAAGTATTTATTCAATGGCGGCTATTGCTGTTGACCGGTAAGCAGACAACAAAGCACTTAATTGAAAATCATTGCAGTTATTTTACTACAGTGCAATTTATAAATTGCAATTAATAATATTTTTAGTTCTTTTTAACTTTACCATAACATGTTCCCATGGATTAAGATAATTAATCATCATCCTAACATGACATTAACTATGTCATAAATCAGTTACAGCTTTTAAGTTCCTGAAAACATACATTAAGTTCTTATATGATCTGTTACCCTTCTTATGGCAGCTGGTTTAAAAAAATTTGTTTTGTTTTTTTTGCTGGTCATATATTAAGAGCTGGTCCAAGCTGATCTAGGTGACCAACTACTTCATTGTAAACCTCGCATTTTCTGATGCATCTATGGCAACTTTTAACACTGTCTTTAATTTCGTGTACGCTTTGCACAATGACTGGTATTTTGGTTTGGGATACTGTAAATTTCAAAACTTCTTCCCAATAACAGCAATGTTCTCAAGTATTTATTCAATGGCGGCTATTGCTGTTGACCGGTAAGCAGACAACAAAGCACTTAATTGAAAATCATTGCAGTTATTTTACTACAGTGCAATTTATAAATTGCAATTAATAATATTTTTAGTTCTTTTTAACTTTACCATAACATGTTCCCATGGATTAAGATAATTAATCATCATCCTAACATGACATTAACTATGTCATAAATCAGTTACAGCTTTTAAGTTCCTGAAAACATAAACATTAAGTTCTTATATGATCTGTTACCCTTCTTATGGCAGCTGGTTTAAAAAAAATTGTTTTTTTTTTTTTGCTGGTCATATATTAAGAGCTGGTCCAAGCTGATCTAGATGATGAATCAGGTGGACTGACATCCACCTGGTAGACCTTGATGAAGCTGGTTAGAGTTATTTTTCCCCCCAGCAGGGATATAAACCTAATTCGGCCAAATTTTAGGTTTTGTCACTGTACATAGAGGAAAATAGCTCTAAATGCATCAACTCAAAGGCTAAAGTATAAAGCTTTTATCTGTGCTCCACCATCTACCACAGACGGTCAAAAGTAGTTAATGGTATTAGCTATGAAAAGAAATCTTAAAAAATCTTATTAATTTTGGCCCCATTTAATGATAAATAACTCATTTGTCATATAGTAATTGTCTTTAGCAATTGTCATGGTTATCTTAAAAGTGTTTTGAAAATCGTTTATATGCTACAATCTATTGTGATTAAGTGATTAGGACAATTCAGCTTTCAATGGGTCTAAATGAGAACCTGTGCACATGTAGTTCGCGCGCGCAACGTCCCCGAACATGTCAAATATGCAATTTACCTGCGGCTTAAGTAATGAAAGTCCCTTTACTGCGCGCAAATCATGCATTTGTGATATTCCTGGATAATCGATTCCAGTTGACCTAGTGACTCATGCGCAAAATGGGTAGAGACACTTCGCGCTGAGTGTGGATCGCTTTCCACATTGTGCTCTGATGATATGAATAAGAGTCTGATTTAGTGGCATTATGCATGCAGTAAATTCCGTCCAAAAAAAGCACCGTAATGCACTGAATGGCAATATAAGGGAAAGTCGACAAAGTGGTATTGGCAACCTTTTCCATTTTGTTATTCATATAGTATATGTCATATTTATGGTAGCCTACCATTTAAAGGTATACGTTCATTGTCATTATGGTGTTGTTGGCTGAAATCCACAGATATATGGCTATAATTCACCCTCTGAAGCCCAGGCTCTCCTCCACTACTACTAAAGTTCTGATCGGGGTTATCTGGACTGTGGCGTTTTCACTGGCTTTTCCTCAGTGTTATTACGCCAGCACAAATTTCTACTTCCCTCGGACTGTTTGTATGGTGGAATGGCCTGACGATTATGGAGGGAAACATCAGCTCTCGTAAGAAAAATAAGACAAAAAAAATGTATCCTTTTATTCTGTATGATTCACACAAGTATTTGCTCAATTTTTACTGACAAGTAAATTGTTAATAAATTCCCTTTGAATACGCAGTAATAACTATGGTTGAGATTGCTATTTTGTGCAGCCAGGAAAACATATGATGTTAAACACAGAGTAATTTTGCACTTGTCAAAGATTTTAATGCCCATCAAAGGCATTACATAGGATTTATTATTATTATTATTATTATTATTAAATTACAGTAGAGGATTCTTACCTAAAATGTTCATTTATGTAGATTTGACTCATGAAGTGATGCTTGATCTCACTAGGTATCAGATTGCTGTGATTATCCTGATCTACTTGCTCCCTCTGCTGGTGATGTTGGTGACCTACAGCCTGGTGGGAAGGAGGCTGTGGGGCAACGAGATCCCTGGAGAAGCATCAAACCACTACCAGAACCAGATGCAGGCGAAAGGCAAGGTCAGTGATGCTAGTCTTGACTTTACTCATGTCATTTTGTTATTTATTCCAGTTTCTCCAGTCACCTAACTAAACCATGCGTCTACATGCACATTGAGATGAAGGCAGTTCTCATGTTTCTAAACTCTAAATAGATACATATCATTGGTGGCTACATTCGAAAAAAAAAAGTGTATTATCATGACCAAATGTAGTTAAGTTCCTTAAAATCTTAAAGAATCAATGGTAAAACCTTCCCTCTGGACAAAACGCTTTTCTTCTGGCAGAACAAGAAATTGTTTTGTTTTTTTATTCCTTTCACAATTTTCTCTTTTGTGTCCTTTATAGTAAACCTCTCCAGAGAGATTTTTCATTGGTGGCAGCAGATATTTATGGTTTTGGATTATAGTTCTTTGCGTTGAAAGCAAAAAAAGATTAATTCCATTTTTGCAATTTAATAAAGGTTGTGAAGATGATGATAGTGGTGGTGACGACCTTTGCAATATGTTGGCTTCCCTACCACATCTACTTCATCCTGGGGAGCTTCAACAGGGACATATACAAGCAGCACTACATCCAGCAGGTCTATTTGTCCATCTTCTGGCTGGCTATGAGTTCCACTATGTACAACCCCATCATTTACTGCTGTCTAAACCAAAGGTAAATGCACATTACATCTGAAGATGGAGAAAAAATGGTTTTAAACACATTAACATGAATATTTAGTGCAGCATTTGCATTAATGTCAGTTAACCTAGAACAGTGATCCCTAAAGTTTTCAATCCCAATCCCGATCCCTAATTTGAATCAGTATTTATTCTTCAAGAAGTCCCATTTTTAATGCACAGGAGGTTTACATCTAGCATATGTTGTCCTTCTTTAGATTCCGCTCAGGTTTTCGCAAAGCGTTCCAGTGGTGCCCCCTCATCAAGGTTTCTGAGGAGGACAACATGGAACTGCAGCACATGAGAACCTTCCACATGAGACGCAGTTATCACACTGAGACCACCAGCGTGGTGGTCCGTAATCATGTCAACGAAGCAGAAGACACCACTTCCAAACTAATCAAGGCCTGAATCTACAATATTTCAGTGATGAGGGTGAAAAACACTCGTGTTGGCTATTCTAAAAAATCAAGCACGGCCATACTTGCACATAATACCTCACAACAGAATTAGATTTTCCCTCCTATTGTTCTCTATTCAGTGGGCTTTACTGGTGGAGTATTCATCTACTCCTATGGCATAAGCACCAAGCCTGTTTTTGTTTCCGTGTTGCTGCTTGAAGTACTAGTCCTAGTATGTGTATAGATCAGTTCATTTTGTATATGCTGTATACAATACTGTTCAAAGGTTTGGGGTCATAAAGATTTTTTTTATATAAGAAATTAATACATATATTCAGAAACAATGCATTGACTTGATCAAAAATGACAATAAAGACATTTATAATTTTACAAAAAAAAATCTATTTCAAATAAATGCTCAACTTTTGAACTTTCTATTCATCAAATCATCCTGAAAAATGTATCACAGTTTCCACAAAAATATTAAGCAGCGCAACTGTTTTCAATATTGATAATAAGAAGAAATGTTAGAGCACCAAATCCGTGCATATTAGAGTGATTTCTGAAGGATCATGTGACAATGTAGACTGGAGTAATGAATACTGAAAATTCAGCTTTACAGTTTTTTTACTGTATTTTTGATCAAATAAATGCAGCCTTGCTGAGCATATGGGAGACTTTCAAAAGCAGAAAAAATATTACGACCCTAAACCTAAACAACAATTTACCATGTTAATTCATGCACCACAATAGAGCAATGAATGTTTTAAGCTGTAAATATTGGTTAAATGTCAAGTGGCATCTCTAAATGTAAAAACAACTGCAAAATCAGCATTAAACTGGTCAGAGCATCTGTACCCTAGGTCAAGAGTATGGATTGCTTGAGATATACAGTCAAGTGTAAGCAGGACAATGACTGTTGGGTTGAATTGACAGTGTTGGAAAAAGAGAGACAAAATTAGGTGGGAAATCTGTGTTGCCTAATTATCTATAGTGGTCGAAGAAATTAAGGCCCGGTTTCACAGACAGGGCTTAGACTAAACCAGGATTAAGCCAATGTTCAATTAGGACACTTAAGTAATTTTTATAACCGTGCCTTAGAAAAAAACATTACTGGTGTGCATCTTGAGACAAAACAAGGGCACTGACATATTTTAAGATCAATCAGTACAAGATTCTTTCAGTTGAAACAGCTCAAATTTACATTTTAGTCTGGGACTAGGCTTAAGCCTTGTCTGTAAACCGGGGGTATGTATATAGGCAAGCTATAATATTAACAAAACCAAACAGTTGTAATTCTACTGGACACGCAAGCTTACATATCAGTGGTACTCAATGTTTACAGCATGTATTATCTTTAATATACATCTGTATGTACATCCATACGCTTGACTGTTTAAAGAGAATTTAGTATGTTTGCATGAGTTTTAGCCCTGAGATATTTCATTTCAAAGTCAATTATATGTTACAAATTGATAATTAAGCTGTATGTTTTCCATATAAAAATTATTTTGTTTGTTATGCTGTCACATATAATGGCAGTGGGTAATACAAAATTCATATTTTTATTGATTTTGTTGGTAAAATCTTATAGTTCTTTTGTATGATTGTCTAGCATCTGTTTAATTGTATGATTGTTCTGTGCTGAAATCTAAGTAAAGGATATTGTAGTTACTGCATTACTAGTGCATTACATTACTAGTGTTTTGTCAAATACAAAAATGTTAAATAGAACAGAGGGGTTGGGATGTACCCCAAAAAGACAAGCCAGTAGAGAAAAAAAAGTATCCAGTAGCCAGAAAAATAAGACTTTACTACACCTTGAAGCTTCCAGTCAAAGAAGGCTCATATTTGGCTCCCTTAAGATAAAGTTTAAATCTTTATTTATTTGTGATTTTTTTGTGATATCAGTAGCCCATATAGTGTCTAAGTGTGTAAATAACAAAATACTGCAAGAAACTTAGTAACCAGCATTTTCACTGTAACAATAAGAAATATTTAGCCTGTGTGATTGGAGGATCATTTTAAAATGTAACCATTTTGTTCAGGTGTGCTTATTACGCATTACCTGGAAAATCAACTTTCAATACATTCATTCAAAATAGATATAAAAGGAATTTCTTTTATTGCACAAACAATTACCACATAGGATGTAAATACTGAACAAAAAATGCTATGGTGTTTGGGCAACCGTGAAGGACACCACATAACACAAATTGAGTTGATCAAAATATTTTTATGGTTTTCTCCTATAGATTTTTCCAGGAACATCTATTTATATAGTGCAACTATGAAATAGTACAAAATCAGTGGATGCTAGACCTCAGTTACCAAATAAGGCATGCATTCATCAGATCTCTGAGCCACTACACAGATTCACTCACATCAACTACACAGGATCACTCACAAATAACCAGCCAGGGCACACAGAAGGACATTTACTGGGAACATACACACACAGCAAAAAGCTGACAAAAGCAATACACATGATACAATTTGCTAACTTCTTCGGGAATGAGAGGGTAAGACTATTTCAGAGAAAGTGGATACGCAAAGGCAATCGGTTTCCTGTCCTTGTTCATTTGTACGGCGACCAGTATTAGGGGCTTGAATTACGCAGGAAGGCAGCTGGGACTGCGAGACTGAACTTGCATGTCGTCGTCTATTAGACCGTGACCAATGAGGGGGCTGTTATGATTAGCGAATGCTCCTTAAATGTTTTGCAATATTCACACCACAAACTGCCACACAGACAAATGACAATATGCAGAGGTTTGGAATTAGCTTGGCATAATCGCAACAAAATACCTTCTTCCCCTCAGGTATCCATTCCTGTTATGTCTACCATCAAATATAAAAATAAAATAAATATCTTCATATACTTGGTCAAATATCTTAACTTTAATGTTTGTAATGTGTTTACATTTCTTCCCTTTTTCCAATATACATCCATAAATACTTTAACAACAGTTTATTATTATTATTATTATTATTATTATTATTATTTAACAGTTTAACATATAGTTTGGGTGGACACAGACAGACCAACCCCTAATAACACACAAAGACATACACTGAGAAAAGCTGACGGGAACATGTAGGAGTGAAATACAAAGCAAAGGGGTCAAATCACAGCTCTGGGCATGAGCAGAAGAATGTTCCGGATCGTGGTGGATGAGAGCAGAGTCACAGCTGCGAGTGGAAATGTATAAGGTCTGAGAGAGCTAGAGAAGGAGCTGAGGGCTTGTTCGACACAGGGTTCAGCTCTTTTGTTCTTGCTGGCGAAGGCGGCACCCAACGGCGGTGATCAAGGCGGCACCTTTCCCGCTTCCATCTTCTGAGAGAAGGAAGTTGACGTTGCAGTTGGGGGCAAGCTCCTTCACAGTATGATGCATTATCCGTGAGAAACTGAAGAGAATAATGGGGCATAGGTCAGGTACCACATTTACGCCCATCACTTGGAAATAAGTACTGTACTTACATCACAAAAGCTTTTAAAAATACATTCATTCTGCATGTACTTACTGTGGATGGAGCTTATACAGAGTGCCATCCACCCCAACAGTGATGTCTAGATGGTCCAGACCACGATTCTCCCGGATTTTGTCTACAATAGCAGCCATTCCTGCTCCACAGATCTGGGCAGCCCGGCGGGAAACAGCTCCACACACTTCCTTGACGATAATACTGTCGTCACATGTGCTGTCCAGGCCCAGATGCTGCAGAATGGACCTGACTTGCAGTAGCGCCAAACGGTCACTAGAGGGAAGAAACTACATTTCAGGCCATGACCATTAAGCAGTTTGAAATGTTTCTAAATAGAATGTATTTTAGCATTTCAGTATGTCTGGTTTTCGTGATGAAATGTGGCAATGGAATCTGAGAAACCGCTGCAGTACCTCTCAATTTGGGAAAGGAACTTGGTTTCGAAGATACTCCTGGTCTTTAGGGTCTCAGTGATCTGTCCTCTGAAGAGAAAGCCACGCTTTGTCAAGTCAATCAAGATGTTCCGTACAATCTCACCCAGGTACATGCCACTGCACATCTTCTCATACCTAAAAGTGAAAAAAATAAACTTTCAATTTTTAGATTATAAATAAAAAACATTATAAAAATATAAAATATTGTACACTTTCTTTCAAAATGTATGGGTTGATTCAATTTTTTATGATTTTAAAAGCAGTCTCTTATGCAAACCATAATGATGCATCTATTTAATAAAAAATACAGAAACTATAAATAGTATTATTGTGAAATATTACAATTTAAAAGAATATGCAGCAACACTATAAATATTTACCGCATCTGCATTTACATTCTTAAATTATGGTACAAACAGTAGGCTCCTCATCTGATCAATTCTTCCAGATTTGCTTTCTTAAACATTTGGATCAATTTATTTTCAAAACATTTTTTCTTTTCCTCACACTCGACTGGGTAAAACTGCTCACTTTTGTTTGCCGGCATTGAGGGAGAGATCATCCACAGCATTATCATACTGAGTCCTGATGTCATCCAGGCAGCCATTATCTCCAAATGCTCCCCACTCCATGTTCACACACATCCTGCCGTCCACTCCATCGACCGTCTCAATGTTTCGCGTTTCCTCCATGTAGCAGGCATTGCTACCCGTACCTAAAAGCACACGTAGCATTTTCTCTTAACTCAAATGTTTATAACACTCTTTAAAATTTAGAGTTACAATTTTATTATTTGTTGTCACATTTGATATATTGAATAATATTTGATAATACATTGTATTGTATTTACCTGCAATTAACCCAACCTCACATGTGGGTTCCTCATATGCACAGGTCATCATTGTACCCACTGTGTCATTCACTATGGCTACAACGTCCAAATCAAACTCCTGTACATAATACACACACACAAAAACATCACACATGGATCAAGATTTAAAAATGAATAACTCTTTCAAATCTTGTGTCATCTTGCCATATTTGTGACATTATGCCATAACTCACCTCTCTTCTTTTGATCGCCTCTCTAAGGAGGCCGACAACATCTTCTCCTTCACAGTCTGTGGCTTTAAAGCCCTTTGTCCAATTTACCAGAATTCCCTGTATCCATCAAAGCATGAAAAATCATCAGGATTTTATTCAATAGATGAGCAAATGAAGCTGAATGAGCAAACAGGCAGCTCACCGCATCCAGACTAGTTTGTCTGCAGGGGAAGGAAAAGGTAAAACCCAGAGGCAGGCGGGCGTTCTTCATCCCCATATAGTCCAGGAAGTCAGATATGCAGTACACA